AAAAAGGTTTCACTTTGAGAAATTCCCTGTTATGTTCCTGAGTATCTGCTTGAGATGTTGGGTGTTAAGGAGGAACCCAAATAAATTTCTACAGTCATTTTGCAAGTTTGGGCTTCAGTTAAGAAAACTTTTCAGTGACTTCAGTTTTTCAGCACGTCAGGATTAACGGCAGCGTGGAGAGGGTGAGAAGTGCATTATTTCTCTCACTGATTTGCTAAAAAATACCTTTCTTGCTTTCAGGCTGCTATAGCGGGAGGCACAACCATGATCATCGACTTTGCGGTCCCTCAGAAGGGCAGCTCTCTTGTTGAAGCCTTCGATACTTGGAAGAGCTGGGCAGACCCGAAAGTCTGTTGTGACTATGCACTGCACGTGGCCGTGACGTGGTGGAGCAGCAAGGTACACCCAAGAGCTGAGCCCCTGCAGCACAGGGCTTCAATCTTCCCCAGGTGGAAAAGTTTGCTGGCAGGGTTACAGTTAGCATATCTGCATGTGTACAGACTACAAGTTAAGTAGCCCACACACTTCTACAAGTATTTCTGAAAAAAGAATAAAAAAGAAAACAGGTAACATATTCTTGAGTGATATTGAACATATTCAGAGTTATAGCCGGGGAAAAGGAAGCAGCCTGCGCTCTCTGATGCAAACCAGGGAGGACAAAGGGGCAAGAGGTGTAAATTGTGCCTAGTGTTACCTGAACACTTTATAAACTTTTTTCCTGCTAAAAAAAATCTCATCTTTTTTTTCCAAAGGGTTATAATGAAAAATGTGACACTTCTAACTGTATTTTCAAAGAAATAGTTTTATTCCTGACTGCAGTAATATTTCTTTGAAGTAAAGCAGGATTGGAGCCAACCAATCCTCCAGTCAATTTCTTGAATGAGAGATTGTCTAGAAAATCTTTTGGGAACTGAAGTGTAGAAAATCGTCCTTGTTGTATGAATGTTTACTGCTTACCTGAAAACTCTCCTGAAAAAATGAACTTTTCAGGCACTTAGCATCTATTGGAACCTGTCTAGGGCTTTAAAGGACCACTTTGGATCCTAAGAGAACTTGCATCACCATATAAATATATCAAGAAAAGTCAATTTTTAAATATGAAGCATGAATGCTTTCTTCAATTTTTAACCTTTGAAAAATAGAAATGAAAGCCTTTCCTCTGTAAATGCCATTTTTTTCTGTGCAGTGAGCACTTAATAGACTGATCCAAATTTATAGCTCAAAGCAAAAATATGAAATAACTTCCTCAGCAAAGTTTGATGAATGAACATTTGGAAAACAACCTTAGTAGAGAACAGTAGAATTGTACCAAACATTCTGATAAAACTAGATAAGTGTTAGTCAGAAAAAGAGCCTGCTTAATATTAAGAATTTAACTGTGTTTTTTAAAGATCAAGATTGAAGGAAATAGAAGTTCTATACTTTGCAGCCACAGAAGACTTGGCTACAGTAATTGAACACTTTAATATTTTATGCCCTTCTCATTTGCTATTATATCCTCAGGATTTAAATTCTTGATAAAAAACATACATAGAATGTCTTCCTTTGGTCAGAGTAGTTAGTGAAGAAAAACAAAATGATTTTCTGCTTCACATTTGTGCCAGAGCAGGGTCCTATGTCAGGTATTTAGGTGTTTGATAATTCCCACTCAAAATGTTTCTCTCGTCCTCTTCTCTTTCTCTCTTCTTCATTTTATCTTTCCCTGGACAAGTTCAGAAATTTTGGGCAGATCCAACCATGCTGTTAGAGAAACAACCAAAAATAATATTTTACTTTCCCAAATAAATTTAACCCAAGGTAATTGTAATAGCATCACAAACATAAAACAGTTGCTATCACCATCATTTTCCTGAGAAGAAGCACCAAAGTTAGGCAAATATTCAGTTATAGCTAGCTTATTGCACCACTGTAAATTCCCTTTGGAGGCATCCTAGGGCAAGGCTTTCACATGGGTCTCCTCAGAACTTGGGATCAAGTGTTTCAAAGTTTCTCCCAAGAAATAAGAAAATCTTGATGGCTGGTGGTCTGTCAGAGACAGAAATATGACTCCCAAGATTAGAGAGTGGTCAAGAAGATGTTTCCTCATGTTAGGTCTAACCAGTGAGAGCCCATTTGATTATCAGGACACATGATATGTAGGAGGAGGATTTTAAATCAAGAAAACATCTGGAGATAAGAAAGCTTTGGGCTAAAACCTGCATCTGTCTTTCTTTTGGACGGACCAATGTTTTGCTGGGCTTTGCAGGCTGCAGAAAAAGGGAATCCTGTGAAAGAGTGCATATAAGAAAGGAATGAGGCACATTTGCACAGTTTAAGAGACATCTTGTTTGGGGTAAAAGTATTTCAAAGGAATGAAATACCGATCAAATTCTGAAAGCCAAATTTGCACAAATATCCATTCTCTATCCTTTGAGTTAGATGCACAGTGGGTTGTGATATTTGATAGGGTGTTTACAGCATCAAGAAGTTTTCACTGGAATGAAATTCTGCTTCAATCTCTTATGTAAAAAGTGCTCTGTTCCCACAGCTACCCTGTGCCTCAAATACCTGCACTGCAGTAGTGCTGATTTACAAACTTTGAGAAGCAATTTGAGACAATAGAAGTAGTACAAATCAACCTTTTAAATATTTCATTTAAACTGTTTGGGTTGAGTGTGTTTTTGATGGGTGACTACAGGTCGGTTGTTGGTTCACACTTACAATTTCATTATACAAAATCCTGAACCGTTAAAGTAAAATTTTGCTCTTTTGTGAGAGTTCTTGGCTGTCTTTCAGGTGAAGGAAGAAATGAAAACTCTTGTCCAAAGCAAAGGTGTCAACTCCTTCAAGATGTTTATGGCCTATAAAGATCTATACATGGTCAATGATGAGGAATTATATGAAGCTTTCTCCCAGTGTAAGGAACTTGGAGCGATTGCTCAAGTCCATGCGGAGAACGGGGAGCTGATTGCACAGGTAGGCATTTGACATTTTGTCCATCAGCATGAAGCCTGAGCACTTCAGTAGGCACATCAATACCATCACTGTGACATGAGGAAATGATTTTTCTCCTGTTTCACCTCCAGGAGGTGGAGATAAAATGTCTTGTCTGTATCACAAAAGATAGGCCAGAAAAACTGCAACCAGGAGTCCTGGGCTCAGGATATACAGGAGGCAAATGATCCTATTATAATAGGAGTTATATTGCTGAAAAAAGCATCATTTAATGTCTGACCATGGGTCAGGTCAAAGGGGGAAGACTTGGCCAAGAGCCAAGAGGCTCTAGGTGTGTGTCTTTGTCCTTAGTAAGGATCATCACATCTTTTTCAAAGAGGGGTTAGTATTGTCATCTCAGACTGAGTTCTTTCAACTGTACGTATAAAGAGAGGGTAGGTTTTACAAAAGCAGCAATTTATGTTTGAAAACCATCTTCACTCAGACATTTTGAGACCTGGCTTTATTTTGAGATCACTTTGATTCAGGCAACACAATGATAAATTCTCTTGGGAAAAAAACACTGTAACTGACTTGCTCTTGCTCAGTCCAGCTCCAAAGGCTGGTGTACGATGCACTTGGCTGGCTGCACATCCACCATACCACAGCTGCACTTCAACCAACTATAACCTGTTTTTCTGTGCTGACTAGGGTGCAAAGAAATTGCTGGCCATGGGAATAACTGGTCCTGAGGGGCACGAGCTGTGTCGTCCTGAAGAAGTGGAAGCCGAAGCTACGCAGAGAGCAATTACCATAGCAAATCTCACAAACTGCCCTCTTTTTGTAGTCCATGTAATGAGTAAATCTGCAGCAAGGGTGATAACAAATGCACGAAGAGAAGGTAATAGTTGTAATAGCCTTACTTTTTTCAAGCTTGAGTCTTGACATTGGAGGAAAAGAAAAGCACACTTAGTGTCCCTGTCCTACTCTGCCTGGTGCCATAACCATTAGAATATGGATCTATTTATTGGAATGGGATGTCTAAAGGGTATATCTGTGTTTTGGAGCCTGAGGAAATCTAAGCAGTGTGAAAGAGCACCAACTGGGGCTGAGACTTTTCCTTTCTCCCCAGAGCAGCCTTCTTCTCCTTCATACTGTATCCTCAAGGTAAGAGTAGTGGCTAGGACAGCATTACTGCATTAAAAATGATGTGGTCAGTCCAAGACAACATTTGCTCTGCTATTCCCCTAACTCAGGTTACCATCTGTAGGCCTTTACCAGCTGCTTAGATGTGGAAGATTATGATTATGACAGCGACCATTCCATGTATTTACAGACATGGTGCCATGACAGAACTCCTAGTCTCTGCTCGCTTACAAGTCACGGTGATGCTGAAAACATCCAAAAGGCCAGGTTCTCCCCAGGAAAGGATTTTGCAGTCATTCACTACAGGACTCATAAACAGTTCTGACCTGCCAAGGGACCCACTCCTGGGACCATCTGTTGGGCAGATTAAAAGAAGTCTCAGGCTATAGGGATTGAGGTTAATTTACATCCTCATCTGTAAAGAAGCAGGACAAAAGCCCTGATTTGGAGGGCCTGATTCTCAAACAAATTATTTGTCCCTGTTATCTTTTCACTTTTCAGCCTGCATTCATCTGCTCTGGCATGAATATCACATGGGCATCAGCTTCTTCATCTCTCAAATTTAGATAATGCTTACACTGGCACCTTAGATTAGTGGTATCAGTGCAGAGTTTGGATTAAAGTGCTAACAAAACCAGAATGATATCATTGTACGTATACAGATGGGTATGTTTACCTGGAAAATACATTGATTATGACATCTAATATGACACTTCTACAATTCAAGTTCATAAAGGAAATGTTTTACTCCGAACTCTTCAGTAGCAGAGATTTTTCGTACTCTGCTGTATTAGTTTTCTCCACTAGATGACACTGCTGCTGGTAACGTGGATTCTATCCATCAGAGCACACTTTTACATTGAGGAGTGAAGTGTCAGCATCAGCTATGATAAGCTGTAATGACATTTAAAATATCTCGATTGAAGATGAAACATTGGCTGTGAATATAAAAGGTCTAAGAGAGAGAATGTTTCGGAGCAAGTACAGAAACCTATGTTGATAGTAAATACTGTAAAATATTGTTAGACACGTGTTGTATGAGCAGTCTGCTGAGTCTATATGATAACTAACTTGCCAAAACTATGTTTCTTCAGTGTGTAAAATGAAAAGATTGGCATATCTTAATCTTATCGTGTTGCAAATTGCATTTTATAACCTCCAGGATTCATGCAGTCAGAATCATCATTTCTGACTTTACGTACCACAGAATATAGTATCTTGATTTTCATTTATATACTTTTCAGGAGACAGAAATTAAAGCCTTATTCAGGGATTTCCAAAGGTAGCTGGTATATGCAAAGATAGGTACATCAGTTATAATTTTTAATGAGACTGATGTTTATAAGTTCTGGCAATTAAAAAATGGCTGTTATTATCAGTTAAAATTGTTTTCTATTCTTCAACTAGAAAAGAGAATACAAAACAAGCACATCTAGACAAAAAGCCTAAATTCTCAAAGTATTGCATGGATGACATGAACTCCAAACATTTTGTTACAAGATAGTTTTTCAGACAGGTTAAAGCTATTCTAATATTATTATTTTTTTTAATACATTAAATCTCTCAAGGATTTTGCATATCCACACTAATACAGTTTATTCCTCATTACTCAAAACGATTTTCCCATCTTTCGATGTTCGCTTCTTGGTACCTGCAGTTCTGAACTTGTGTGTGGATGCCTCTCACTCCCTGCCTGTGTCAGGAGGTTGACAGCCCTCTCCACTCTATCACTGAGGGCACAAGTCTCTATTTTCTGGGTCACAGTGTGTCATCAGAGCAGAAGCACTGCTCCTAGAACTGCGTGAGATGGCAATTTTTCTTGTCACAAGTGTAAGTGAGAGCCCAGTTCTGCTTTGCCCCTCATTTAGCTAGGGAAGGTCGACAGCCATGGAGTCGCTGGAGGCTGAGCCCCTCATGCAGAGCTTGCTGAAGCCTGTAAACAGGTTTCTGTTGGCTGCAGTGATCTCTGGCTCCCACCCTAATGGCTAAAGCACAATAGATAGTATTTCTTGTAATAGCAAAAGTAAATTTGGGAGGAAATGTAAGTGACCTTCTTTCCTTCTTCTTCCCTCCAATGCAAAATCCATTATCTGTGTCTTTTCTGATCTCCAGCAATACCAGCCATCATCTCAGCTTTCAAAAAACAGAACACTTCTTTCTACTTATTAATTTTTGGAATTCAGGGAAACAGAACAAATGGGAAGGCCTGATTTATTACTGCATTACTCCAGTTTTATGCCTATAGGCAGTTGAACTAAAACAGCCCTAATGCAGCAGAACCTTAATATTATCGCACCATGCAGTTTGGTGAGTCACAGTCCAAATCAAATGCAAGAAAAAAGCAAAATCAGCAGAGGTGTCCAAATGCAGCCTGTTGAAGCTGCAGTGCTCAGAGCAAAAGCCACTCGAGGAAATGCCTTGTATCCTTCCAACTCATGGGCACAAGGGGAGCTGCTCGGGTCACATTCTGAGCACAGAAATATTGTCGTGAGTTGTGGTATGTGAGTGTCCTAACTACTGTGGCTGGAAAATAATAAAAAAGAGTCCAGCTCCTCAGAAACTTCCTATGAAAATACAACGGTCACAATCAAAATACCCAAAAAAAAAAAAAAAAAAAAAGCTCATGGAAATACCATACTCCACTGTACAGAGAGAAAATCACAAAGATTTGCCTTGTTGGTTTCTGACAACACATTTGAATATCTGACTTATGCTCAGAAAGTCAGAAAAAGTCCAAGCACTAGTCAACACTAATAGCAATAAGAAATTAGTAGCAGTAACAGGATGAGCTCTTACCAGAGGAATTTAAAGCTCATTCTACAGCTCATCCTTGGCTTGTGAAGTGAACTGTGGGATCTGTAGTGAGATACCCACTGTCTGTAGAGGGCAGGGGATGCTGAAACCTCATACCAGGATCCGGCAGGAGCTGCCTTCAGCCCACAGCAAGAGTCTCACGAGAGGGTTTGTGGAGTCCCAGCTCACTGGTTTTCTTGGTGACCATCAAGGTGCTACAGCCTGTTGCCTACAGAGCAGCAAAGCAGCCAGACCACTTCTTCAGGGAGTGAGACACCTTGTTTCATCTTCCTGTTGTTCTGAAGATTTTCAAATCTATGTTTCCTAGCAGCAGGAAATAGTTAAAACTTACTAATTCTAACTAAAGGCTAACAGCAGGTCTGGGTTGGGGTCCTCTTCTAATAAAACTGGAGTACTGTGCAGCAAATAATTGAAGAGTAAAAATTGAAAATAATACTTAAAATTAAGGTATTTACAATTTTTTACTTTGGAAATGTTTTTATAGTCTTATAAAAAATTATAAGATAAAATTTGCATAGTTATACATTTTATAAATTTATATAATTATATAGACTTTATATCTGCTGTGATCTTATTCTTCCTGGTGAGCCTGCCTGCAATTATAGCTCGACGGTTAAAAATAACACCTTGCACCGTCTGTGTGCTGTGTACATAAACCTACACTGTTGCATAATCAATAATTTCAGAGCATCAAACAGGTGCTACCCAGAAATTTACAGATCTTGAACATAGCTAATGCTCTTTGAAATCTCAATCACATGCATAGTAAGCAATGTGTAAAACCCATTATAATACATAATATGTCAACAATTTAATTAAAAAGCTTTCACAAACAATGTCCTTGTGAAAAAATATATTGGGAAATCAGCAGCAAAATATTCAAGCAGATGTGCTGTACTACAGCCTAATTTATTGTGCTCTTCCATATGTTGATGTTTAATTTGAGGTACTGCATTCAAGTTTAAAGCAATTGCAAGCAAAAAAAATCAGGAACAGGAAAAACACAGGATAAGAATTGTTATGTTATTTGATGATGATACTGTTGCTCTACGTTTCTCAGGGAAGGTGGTTTACGGGGAGCCTATTGCTGCTAGTCTGGGCACTGATGGTACCCACTACTGGCACGAAGACTGGGCGCATGCTGCAGGATATGTCATGGGGCCTCCGCTGAGACCAGATCCTTCCACTCCTGACTTTCTCATGAACCTACTGGCCAAGTAAGCAGCTAAACTACAAAGACAGCTGATGCCCAAAAAGGCAGCGAATTCTATTTGGATTATGTAATAACAGGATGATGCCCTGGAGATTTTCAAAGTACAGAATGTTACATTAACAGGAAGGAGAAAGGGAAGGTGAAAGCATAGACGAAAAACAATTTTGTCACAGAAATTAGAATCTGTTCAGATTTTGTTCCTCTGAACTCTTATGTCCTTCTGTCTCCACCTGCTTTTCATCAGTTAGGCTTGCTTTGTTAATACTGCAGCAAAAATTGAAACATGATCAGTGAGGTCGATGTCCGCAGGAAATCTAGACATATCCAGGATATGTGGCCAGGAAATGTGGCCATAGCTAGAGGTTCTAAGATTTGCTCTCAACTCCCTTGTTCACTTGAAATGTGGATGCTCTCTAAAAAATAATCATGCTGCCTCTGGAAACCAAGTATACTTTGCCCTTACTTAGGAATCTCGGAAACAAGTAGCAGCAGAAGCATCCTTCAGATACCCATAGCAAACCAGCCAGTAAAATGGATGTTTTGCTGGTACTTTTTTTCCTAGTAAATCTTAACTCACCCGAAAGGCTGAATTTGACCTGAAATTCTGTGAAGATATGTCTGAGTACAGTCTGACTGACAGTTGTGCAAATCAGGGGTAATTTCACTGGGTCTGTGGAGTGACACAGTCTAAAATTGCTGGGAGGACAGAAACCAGCACTTTGCTCTGGGCAAGGTGTGATAGTCCCTCATTCGTGGGACACCTTTGTCGTATCCAAAGTAAATCTGTTATTTTTGGTATTTGGTTTCCTATAACAGAGTTTTGAAAACTGCTTCCCTAGGAACTGGCTGTCTCTATGTTCTTCTTGGAGGAAGAGATTGAAGAGCATTTGTCAGGGCCTATCAGCCTTCTTTCTTGCAGGAGGGATGGCTGGATCTATCCAGCCTGCTAATAGATTCTCCTGGCTGGTACCGTATCTGCTCAGTTTCACAATGAACTTTGTTTCTCCATAGTGATGACCTATCTGTGACAGGAACTGACAACTGCACCTTTGACACATGCCAGAAAGCTCTGGGGAAGGATGACTTCACCAAAATCCCTAATGGAGTGAATGGTGTGGAAGACAGGATGTCAGTCGTATGGGAAAAGGGCGTTGTAAGTACATCATTGTATACCAGGTGCTGAACGGGGTCTCTCGAAAGTATCAACTCTTCAGTTTTACCAAGTGTATTTATCATAGTATAGTCTCCTTGATCAAAAGACCAAAACAGATTCCTCACTAACACACTTTAAGGTGCTGGGAAATAGAAGAGGATTCTCAGTGCTCAGAAAATGCACTACAGAACTTCCTCTTCATTACCAGCGAGGGATTGCTATTGCTTCAGTGGTGGTGAAAAGTACATTTACTTACAGTATTTTTGTCACAAGATGAAAGAAAAGTAAGGGGAAAGAGCTGCCTACATTTTTGACTTGGTCTGCTCCATGTTTTCTCCTCCCTAAGCATTCTTGAACTTAGCTGCTGAAGGAGCTTCCACCTTGGATGTGTCACTGTCAACTTCTTTGGACACTAAGGACAATGCCCTTTAGGCTCTAAATAAGCATAAATATGAAACTCGTGGCTGGCCCTTCCTCACAAGGGTAGCCTAGTGAGAGGGCACTTGTGATTTGTTACCTACTAGGTGACAAATTGCTCTGGCCAACACAATGCTATAAGTTCTGGAGACCTTGGTTCAACTTTGTTGCTGTTGTTGTTATTAATATTATCAAAGTGGGACATAAACATGCATATTAGTACTGTTTTGAACAGTGTAACAACCTGAACAGAGTAATTCTTCAAAAGGTCTTCAGTCAGTCATATCCTCCCTTTTCTTGTTTGTAAAATATTACACAGCTGTGACAGTTTGTCCAGAGAACTTCCCTTCCTTCCCACACACCATTATTTGGAATAGAAATGTTCATCACCTTCTTTCTGCTTTTCTCCTCAGCTGAGTGCTCACAGACCACCACACTTAGCATGGCAGTCTGCTTCCTACTAACCTGTGCTGGTGTAGCTGGTTTCCTGAGCAAAGAACAGTCATGAAGACTGCATTAAACTTGCTAGCTAGAAGTAACCTATTACTGTTTGATGTTTCACCAACATGCCTCACTCAAAAATATTTTCTATACTACTTGACCTCAAACTTTTACTGAACCACGCTGTCCTCTGCATTTTGGCTGAAGACATTTGCAAATCACCTTACCTATATCACACAGTGCCTTGCCTTTCCCTTATAATCTTCCCTATAATCTTCTTTCATATGCACATTAATAGTCAGCCTGATTGATAGTCACGTCTCCTAATGCTTTATCACTTCATATTATCATATACTTTAATACAGATCCAAAGACAGCAAATTAATTTGATTTCTGTTGAATTAATTCTGGTTCTACAGAGCATTTCTCTTTAAAGTTGTTTTTTTTTTTAGTTATTTCTCTTTTTCTTTTGCTATGGAAAAGTAAGAGAAAATCATCATATTCAGTAAATGTACGTTGCAGTATGTGCATCAGAGACAGTTATGCATTTTAAACTCAGTATGACATCTCTTAAAAGAAAAAGATGTTGGCAGAGGACTCTGTCACTCATTCTAAGCCTTTTGACATCAGACATTTTTTCTTCCTTTCTTGTTTAAAAATTAGTAACTTTGCTTTTGTGTATTCTTCCTCAGTATAGTGGAAAAATGGATGAAAACAGATTTGTGGCTGTTACCAGCACAAATGCAGCAAAAATCTTTAATCTTTACCCAAAGAAGGGAAGAATTGCTGCAGGTTCTGATGCTGACATTGTAATTTGGGATCCCAAGGCTACAAGGTATGTCTGAGTAATTAATTTCTTCCAAGTAGTCCCTCTGCAGAAAAAAGAAACTCAAAACATTTGTATGGGAACAATCCTCTAGAGTGAGCGTATGGCATTTTTTTCCCACTACCTCATGTGAATTATTTAGAGGTTATTTAGTATATGCAATAGTAATACTATACAATAATATATGGAAGTAGAGGTCTTTGATCTCTAGATGGATGATGAAACTCAAAAAATAGATTGTTACTATTACAAAAATTACAAGGTCTACACATTACAGTACTAGGGTTTGGTACCTTAAGAGTGAAAATAACCACTTTGAGACTTCAGAGCAACTCTGTAAAGTGCAGAACTATGTTTAGGTTCCTCCCACTGCAAAAAGCAGGGAGAAGAGCCTGTGTTCCTGCAAAGACACCTTTTGTAAGGCTGTGCTTTGAGCTTAAGGCCACTTCTGACGGGTACATTCCATGGCATTCAGGAGGAGTGGGGAAAGCATGGAGTGCTGTCCTCTTCTTGTCCTCTCCAAAGCTGCTAGAGCAGGCATAGTGGAAGAGGCAGCGTGGACCTTAGCTCTGCAGCTCGAGCTGTAGATACTTAGGCTTTTATTTAGCAGCTTTCTGATCCTGTGCCCAGTGAGTTCGCTAGAATAGAGCTCGTCACACAAACAACACGTGCAAGACAATTTTGCTACCCCTTTCCCTGAATGACTTGATGCCATGAGCCATTTAACACTACAAAAGGCATGCAAGGCAGTGTCTTTCTGGAGTCCCAACTCATCCAGCACACTGTGCATTACACCTGCTTCCTGTCTTCAGCTGTCTTCACATCATTAGCCAGTTCCATATTCTGGCTCTATGAACATCTCAAGGACTAAACCTCTTGGGTCTACCCCTGGCCTCAGATTCTGTCCTGGTCGTAGAATCACAGAATCACAGAATGCTTAAGGTTGGAAGGGACCTCTAGAGATCATCTAGTCCAACCCCCTGCACACGCAGGGTCACCTAGAGCACGTGGCACAGGACTGCGTCCAAGCGGGTTTGAAGATCTCCAGAGAAGGAGACTCCACAACCTCTCTGGGCAGCCTGTTCCAGTGCTCTGGCACCCTCACTGTTAAGAAATTTTTCCTTAAGTTCCTGTGGAACTTTTTGTGCTTCAGTTTGTGGCCATTTCCTCTAGTTCTGTCGGTGGCCACCACTGAAAAGAGGCCAGCACCGTCCTCTTCACTGCCTCCCTTGAGGTACTTATATACACTGATTAGACAGTCTTGTCTAAACTACCTGCAAATCCTCCAGAGGATGTCAGAGAGGCAGCTCACCTTGGAGAGTGTCTTTTTCTGCTGAGATGACTATGGGATGTGGCCAGTGCTCCTCCTTGAACAGCCCTGCAGAGGTGGTGCCTTGATGTTGCCCTCAGCTCCAGGAAGCAGCATGAGCATCCGCTGTCCTGAAGGGATGCGTTGACCCTCCTTGGGGAAATCCTTTCATCGGTGTCAACTAGAAAGGGGCTAAAGCTACTTCAGAAAGCAAGAAATCCTAATGGAGTTTCATTGGGTGTTGGAGTGTGATGAGAGCATGGCCAGCTCCCATAAAGGCATGAGAGTGTTTGGTGTTCCTAATGCCTGAGTGTTAACTAACTCCTAGGTGGCACAAGATTTTCAGCCTGTGCTTTTAAAAAATAGAGTTGCTGATTCTTCTGGAAAGCTTGGAAACATGACTGAGCAAATCTGAAGCTCAGAAACCAAATGGAGGGGGGAAAGTTCTAATTCTACATTTGTTTTAAACAAATTCTTGACTAATATTCTGGTTTCTGATATGGTGACAATGTAATTTTCAGTCACTTTAGTATTTCATGAGTAGCCAAAACATGGAGAGTGACAGTAGAAGTATTCTGGGTGTCCAGTGGCAGAGCCTGAGGATATGGAGGTTGCTATTCAGGAGCATTCAAAGAAGCAACAGCAGCAGCAAAAGCGGTTCCAGCAGTGTCAACCCCGACAAGCACAGAGCCCGACCACTGCGAGGGCAGAGGGGTCTGGCTGCTGGTGGCGAGTGGTCTGTGACCACTGTGCCCTGCCAAGCTAGGGCATTCTAGGAGCTATTTCAGGACAGTGGTGCTATGAACTCTGATTAAAAACACTGAAGGATTCTTTTCTGAGCTCACTTCCGCTCTTTCAGGGCATAAATGGAGCTAGAAAGACAGCAGAATTCTGACATTGTTCTCAAAGTACTTCATCTTCTGAAGTTATTTATCCTTTTGCCTCTCAGATATTCCTTCTGCTTCCCTTCGCACTCTCCTGGGGGCTCTCATTGCCTTTTGCCCACCCCATCTGTGAAGGTGCAGTTTTTCTTCAAATATTTTTTCCAACATTAACTGCATATTTTTACTGACCAAGCTTATTCTAAGTTCAGCCAATAATTTCTTTTCTGATCTGGGGACTCTTTTTGTTGTTTATCCCTTTGGCTTTCCTGGAAACAAGCAACCGTGCAAGTACTGCTGTGTGAAATACATGACTAAGTATAAATAAACCTCATAGTCCTTCTTTACTCATTTCACTACAAATCCTGAAGAGGGCACAAACAGTCCAGCAGAAGAAAGGATCTCGGTATCAGGCTTCAACCACTTAAAACATTGCACAAGGCCCAGACTCCTGGGCTTTTCTTGCATCTGAGGAGTGATTTGCAATTTCACAATAGTCTTGTTTCCCTTCTCTGCAATTTCTTTCTTCCTCTTTTGAGTATGCCTTTTTTGTTGTTGTTGTTTGTAAATCTAAATCTTGAGAGAGCAGAAACCACAATTTCCCAGTTCTGGCTTAATACTGTGTTCCTGTAGTCTTAGAATGATGGATGATATCAGCTTAAACACTTAGACTAATGCTGAATTATCACTGTGAAGAACTGGGGTTATTACACTCTGGCAGGGGAAGTCTATAGGGAAGATACCAAAATCATTTGGAAAGATCATGAGGCTCTTCGAAATACAAAAAAAAAAAAAAAAAGAACTCTACAAAATCAGCTGCCTTCCCCCACTCCTGCATCATTGCACAATAGCAATGTGATGGGGGCTATCTTGGCACTCAGTGTTTTCCTTTTCTAGATTGCAAAAACCTAGCAAATTCAGCATGACAGCTCCACAAGCCAAGAGCAATTGAAAATCAAGGTTCCACTTCCAGCACTCAGCCATTTCAGCTGAGGCTTCTGCTTTAAGGGCCAATTTCACTGACTGGCAGATTCCCATAGGACTTGCTGGTGATTCTTGCAGAAAATATTAAATGAAATTATCAGATTTGTTATTGTATTTAAGAGCTTCCTAATACTGGTTTTAGTGGGTCTGCCTGAAAGCAATTAGTATTGGGAAAAATGCATTAATGCATAAATTCATTAGAGAGCGCATTAGAAAACATGGGTTGTGAGTCAATTGAAAGACAGTGAAACAGCAGTATAACTTTTCCGCTGGCAGATGAAATCTGTTTCTTAGTTTCTTAATACTCATTATGCATTCTATGAAGAACACCAAAATCCTAGAGGAACCTGTTGTTTTGCGCTGGTCATGTGCTTCCAAAATCATCTTGCAGACCCCAACACCCACAGCTTCCCAAGTACAGCCTGTGCACCCGGGATTGTTTTGTGAGAACTCCTTGGGAAAATGCATGTAGGCAGCATATGTGTATGTACCCGCTGTACTTTCTTATTGTTAATCTGTGCTTTGACCAAGAACGTTCCCTGGCTGCACAAAAATAATACGACAGCCTCAAGTCTGTGAAATAAAAGCAATTGCAAAGACTGTTTGAGAAGGAGAGGGCACAGTGTGCAAGCAAAAGTGAATGTCACCTGTCAGCAAATCAGTGTCCTCAATAGCTGATGCCTTTGGCTATTTGGAAGCAAGTAAGAATACAAATTCTCTGGGGCTTGTTTCAGAAATGCTAAGCAAGGAATCTAAATACTGCAGCAACCGATTCAGACCCTGGGAAGAGCTGAGCAGTCTTGTAAAGCAGGGGCAGGCAGTGCTAGAAGATGTTCAAATCCTTGCAAATGTTAGGCCTTAAACTCACTGGAGCCTATCAGAGCCTTCCCAACAAACACTGGATCAGGCTTCAAAGGCAAGATCAGGACAAAATGAAAACACCCTCAGGGATTAAAGAAAAAAAAATGGATGGAATTTACGCATCTAAATCCAATTAAACGATCAGGGCAGTTCATTACAGCAACTGTGCCACCTGGGAAGGCTTTATACCCGTGTATTTCCACTTTCCAAGGATAGCCTGGAAGTTAGCTAGGTGCTTCTGAGTGCTGAGGTAGAGCAGACCCCTATGGTACCCCCAGCCCTTGTCCCACATGTACAGATGGAGCTGGATTCACTGCGGATGCAGCGGGGACAGCAGCAGCCCCGGTCACAGGGACGTTTCACTCAGTGACCTGCTGGCTCTGACACGACTAGAAAAGATACCTTTTCTGGCCTCTGTTTTCTGAGTTGTTTAAGGGTTTAGGAGAAAAATTCACTAGCTGCAAATCAGAGAGAAATCAGGATGCCCCTGTCCGTTGGCATATATTCCCCCAATGCTTCTTGTGTGTGTCTATTTGATGTTGCTGGATAAATCTTTTGCATTTATTAATGCAAAATCTCTCCAGTGCCTGTTTCATCTGTAGTCAGTTTTCAACCTCAGAGGGCTTAAGTGGGGAAAAGTCACATTTAAGGACTCCTTGCCAAGAAACTACTTATAATTTTTCAAAACAGGAAACAGGAAAAAAAACAAGATCATAGCAGCAGATTAGAATAAATAATGCTGTGATTGCTGGTTTGATGAATGAGCGTGATTTTCAACACTTAGTATATGAATAACTACTCTGGACATCATGAGGCAAACGAAGTAAGAAGTGTGGCATAGGACAAGCATGTTCCATCATTTTCAATAGCACCATCATTTTTTTACACAAATGCAAGCCTTCGTATGCGTGCACACAAATGAATCACAGACTCCTTCCAAAGGCCTGTTATTTAAAATAGAGGGAATGCCAAGAAGGAAGAACCATGGGCACAAATGAAAATGCAAAAAAAAAAATCTTTTAAACATAGGAAAGAACTTTTGTAACAAAATAAACCTCTGTGAGAGATCATGATGGACGTTTCCCTAGAACCTTACTGTCTCGTAAAATGTCAACTGTTTTCTTCAGAAAGCTGAATCTTAGGAATATAACCACAAAAAAAAATCTTTTCTTATCTTCTCCTCATATAACCTTATAATTTTCTCCGCAGTTATTACTTCCAGATCTTATTTAGTCATCGAAGGCACTCGTTTGCATTTTCATCTCTTCCTATCATTTCTGCAAGCTTAATTTCTGATTACTGTCGCCCCACTGCCCATTGCACACTCTGACGATTTCCCCTTTCAGCCTGTGCCAATTTGGAGTGAGTGACAGGAGCAAACGGATGATATTGTTAACAAGTGGGTTACTTAAATCAATCAGAAAAATAGTGTTGTCCATTCTCTCTCCATCTTAAATGATGAATCTAAGGAGATGTGGTTGGATAAAATGAAGATTGTGTCCCTCAAATAAGCCACTCACTCTGATATGGAGACCCTAAACATTTGACTTCTTTCCTCTTCTTTCCTCTGCTATTTTATTCACAAATCCCCTCACTTCATATGGGTTCTTGGAGACAGTGCTTATTTAGGGATAATGCATTTGAATAAATGTAGGAATAAAACTTTATTAATACATGCCTACCTATGTATGTGTAATTATAGAAATTCCTTCATATAGAATAGACCATGGGCTTTTTGACCCACTTTGTAGTCTTATAGCTGGAAGGTCTGCACATGGACTTTGATTTTCTTCTTTTTTCTCTTTTTCCTCCCTCATGGGTTTTCTTTTTAATGAAACTGTCTCTTTAATGTTAACGAAGTTCAGGTTAATTATCCATATAAAGGAGTGGCAGCTCAGGACAGCAGAGCAAGGTAAACCAGAGATTTATTTTTCCTATACAATTTTACAAAGCCTGTTAGCAATACGGGCAGTGCAAAGGCAGCAGACAGGAACGTGAAGCTGCTCACAAAGGCTGATTGATATAACTTGAGTAAACTGGCATCTCTTCCTATCCCCAGCTTAAAGATACTGCACCGTAAGCACCGGAAGAAATTGCTTACAACTCCAGTTCTCATCCTTATATAAGCTGGTTTTCTATAGTAGCTGTCAACAAAGCAGTTGTTTTCTCTTGAGCTCAGATCTCAGGTCATTTTATCTGTTCTTATTATGTTTTCATTTAATTAAGTAATTCTAAAATTGGTGTCTTCCCCCTTCTGAGATGTTAAACCATTACCCTTGCCTTAGGGCTGTTGATTATAGAATTCCTTTGTATTTCTGTGGCTGGAATTTTTAAAGAAAACTTTAAAAATGGGAGTTATGCTCCCAATTTCCATTGAACGTAATCAATTTCTTTATTTTCTTATAGCCTTATGTGTCTCCTGTTCTGAAAATTACAGTGTTAATCCGCGCAGCAGTGGAAGTTGAGGTCCTACTGCTCACAGATCCACATTCACTTATCTGGTGCAGCTTCATTTCTTGTGTATTATGAGAAGTAGAAGATAAATCTTAACATATAAAGCCAGTTTCACTTCATCCAACTTCCCTTCCTGCACAACTGTGACTTGCTGTTTAGTACTTCAGCTCTGGCTGGGACCAGAATATTAGAGGCTAGATGTATTTATGATGATCCTGGATTATGTTTGACTTGAAATGAAATCTGGCACACTTAGCTCTTTACAAAACTTCAGGGTTTCCTGAGGGCATAAGTTTTGAACTGATCACTTGTATAGTGTTGAATTTCAATTTGTAGCTTAATTAGGTATAATATTCTGGGCACTATAAAGCACTTCCTTACATAAATCATCAACAAATGCAGAGTTACCTGTCATTGACTTGTCAAACAGAGAAAATCTGATAATTTCATGTGGACTTTAAAATAATTGCTAATAGATTATAAATTTCATAGAAGCACTTGATTGAAAAAAAGACAACTTCAGAAGCAGGTCTTCCTCTTTGGCCCTAGAGAAACATGATTATTTTTAAAATTAATAGTCTGAAATCTCTTTGCAAGACAGAGGTATCAAAAGCAGCTGAACTCAATATATGAAAACACTGATACAGGTAGCAGCAAAACAGTGCCTGATGTCTATACAGAATCCTCTTTGTGGAGGAAAATATTATTTGGAAACTTGAAGAAACCATTCTGACTTCAGTTTCCATTTGAGGAAGGCTTTGGAACAAGAGATTCTATAATTTATAACCAGAATTAGAGAATTTTGCCACTTTTATCTTTACAGTCCATTTGTTGGATTGTAAATTGGCTATATGTGTTCCTACCACGAGCTGGTGACAAGAGTATTCAGGCACTCAAAGCAAACACTACAATTTCCCTAAGCAGTGGTGCCTATGCCAAAGTGGTTCAAGAAGTTGGAAGCAGTAACTGTCCGTTGTGCAAAGCTGCTGAATTATGTGCACCAGAACCAAACATGCTGTCTGGGTGGGTTTTAATTGACTGTTCACTTGATACCTGAAACTTTAGCTGACATTGATAATGTTGAAGAGTTAAACCAAATCACAGAACTGTTTTAGCAAGAGCCATCAAGGACGTTGTACGTCACCTTCAGCAAGGGCAGCACAGTCTAGGGCTTGTTCCATCAGAAGAGTTATAAATGAGTTCTGTGCAGGAATGTTGTTTAGACAAGCTCTAGGAAATGTGTTTTGCCAAACTGCAAGGTTTCCCTTCACAAGTGGATTTTTCTTTCAGAAGTGTTAACTTTTCATTAATTTTGTGTCTTCTTATGAAGGACATACTTAATGAGAGGCATGTTTACCTCCCAGGCTGAGCAGAAGGATCCTGCTTATTTTTCTCTTTGTTCACGGGAAGTGCTTTTTTTATGCTTTTTTTTTTCCTTATGCCTCAGTGCTAGTGGCCAAAAAGATATGACATCTGCCTTGAACATGGTAAAGATAATTGTGTTATGATTTTTATTACTTAATGGTATTTATGTACCAATTGGACCCATAACGATAATGCAATAAACTACAAAATTATGTTTCAAAGCTCTTTGTAGTGTTTCTGTAATACCCATGGATAAGTTTGTTCCATGATATTTGTAAGACTGGTGACTACAGGAGGGTCTGACTTCTTGGTTTGCTCTTTCTCCTGTGATTCTGCAAGATGATGCTGACCTTGGTGAACACCAAGTCTGCTGTCCAAGGTTTGCTAAATAACAGTGAGGTTTTTTTTTTTTGGTTGGTTGGTTGGTTTTCCTGTGGACAATTGAGAATATTTTTCTATGGACAGCATTTGAAGTCATTTGCCACCGCGACATAAATATAGCACATATAGTGAACATAAAGAATGCATAAATATAGCACATATAGTGAACATACATAAAGAATGAGGACTTTCTACTGGACACAATAACCCTGTAGCTCAGGTAACTACTGTAGAGATCTAATATTATAATGTGTTTAATAACTTTGGAAGAAAGATGTATAAGAATATGATATTGTCATACAGACAACAGGGAGATATTTGAGCTCTCAGTCACTGATTCAGTCTAACTCAAATGATTTACCTAAATTCGTTACCTTCTCTAGTGGAATTATCTTTGTAGTCTTATTTGTGTTTCTCAATCTTTGAAATATTGCAAACATATTTTTAAAACTCAAAACTTCAGGACATTCTAGCTAATAGGTCAGAGGCTTTTTATCACCTTATTGTGCACAGATATTTGCTCCACAAATTAGAACACAACCAGGTAATCCAAATAAAGAACCAAATTTGTTTTGTTGTTGTTGTTGTTATTTCAATCATCTCTTTCTAGTGGAAAATTTTGCATTTCAAGGCTGCAAAGTTCTGTCCTTTTGACTCCTGCTTCATTCTTTTCAACTGCAATTACTGTTCAATGAAATGTTAATGCCCTACTCTATTTTTACAGCTGTTCCATGATGTACTGTACAATGTTATAGTTTAATAATGCTGCTAAATTTTCTGCCACTATCCATTTCTCAAATTTTTATAATGAAGTAAATTCAGGGGTCATAGTGATGTTGGATTCTGTTTTGTTTGGTAAACACAGGAAAATATCTGCACAGACCCATCACCAGGCCAACAACTTCAATATATTTGAAGGAATGGTCTGCCACGGAGTCCCAGTTGCAACAATTTCAAGAGGCAAAGTGGTTTATGAAGGTGGAAATTTCAATGTCACAGCAGGAGAAGGCAAATACGTCTCCCGTCCACCATTCCCTCCATATGTCTACCAACGAATCAGGCAGCGGGATCAGGTTAATTAAACTAATAAATCTCTGTAATGCTTTGTATAACATGAGGAGAGTTAGCTCTTGGGAAGAGAAGTTTGGGGATTCAGTGGTAATTTCTCTTACTAATCAAAATGTGCCAAGGCGGGAGGAAATGAATCAAGGGCTGAATTTTTTTTATTGTTCTTCATCTTACAGAAAAAAAAATACCATAGTTCCTGCTCTTAGGGAAGTCTGTGCAACTTGTAGACAAAGTCTGAGTGCTTTTAAAAATAAACTAGTACCACTTTCAATAACAGCAGCCAAACCCTTCTGCTCCCAGATGATCTGAATATCTGCTACATTTCACCACTGATTTTCCTGGGAAATCACAGAGGCAATCCCATCATACTCAGGAAGAGATCTTTGAGGAAGATATCAACAATTTTCTAACTCTTTTAAGGATTCGAGGCTAAGCCATGGGCAATGTTGAACTCTTGGCTCTGTTTCTGCAAGAAAGTGTTAAAAGTATGTGCATAGTGCATTGCTGAGAGAGATGGAGAGAGCATTGCTCAACTCAGTAAAAAGGAACTTTCCTAAACACATTCAAACTGAATTTTCATTGCTTACTTGCCATGCAGCACTTACTTATAAAAAATGTTCTGATGCCTCAGCCTTGCTTATAGTGCATGGGATTTTTGAAAGCACCCAGGCTATTTAAGCATTTTCAAAAATTGAAATGTGAATCAGTGGGATTCATTGTATGTTCTTAATTGTTCTATCCACCTTCTCAACATGGGTGCAAGTTAGTGCTTGTGGAGGAACAAATCTCAGAGCTCTTCAATGACTGCATTGGTGGCCCAACCTGTGAATTTGGCAGGAAGAAAAGCGTGTTGCCTGATCAGGAAAATCTAACTGAATTCAAACAATTGTCCCAAAGACCATGTAGTTCCATGTCCAGCTGCAGATACTGTTTCACAGGCCAAAAAGCAGGAACTGCTCATCTACACTGGCCTCGTTCTATCCTCTTAATTTAGATACGTTCTCCTTGTAGAGCACCTTTTAGGAATCAGTGTTCTGCACCTGCTTTCAGTGTTTTATGGACCATGCAAAAAGTGCTACATGCCTGTGAGTTTACTGAGTGCACTGGACACTGAAGGCATAAGGCACTTTGTAAATAAGGGCTGCTTTTTATTATTGCACCTTGTTTGTTGTGCAGTGTTGATCTCTTTGGTCAAATAAATGCCATGTAATGCTAAGAGAAACTAGCTATTGAAAACAGATACATCAAATACTGCAGATGAGCTGATCTATGATCATATTTTAGGGTATCCTGATGTTTGTGCCATAATCTCTAGAATTTTCTCAACACTCCATGCTCTGTTTAGGCTAAGAAAGGGAGAAGCAGCAAAAACATGAGGTGGAGCATGATCAGTCACTTCTGAAAAATT